TACCTTACCCAATTTGTTAGTTGTTCTCACCCTGTAAGTCTAGATCTTCTACTGGAGGAGGGGTCATCAGTCAGTGATAGCAGAGATATTGATGAATTGGGCTCCTTATCAGAAGCTGAGTAACATTTTCCATGCAAAATGGTTCATGGACCTTTAAGAGTCTCTCAATACTATTGAGTCTGGGTCTTCCATTACTTTGTCTTTGAATACGTATTTAGACTTTCCATATGTGGTTGATTATCTATCCATTCACCTATTGTACTCTCAGAATCCATGTTTTTTATTGTCACGGTCCTCATTCACTGATGTATCCTTAACTTTAAAGATGGAGGAGACACTGAAATGACCTCCGAGAATCCTGTGTGTAATAACAGTTGCCGAGAAAGTACAAGAGTTTTGGGGAACTGGATTCTGCCAACAACTCAGGATGTTACGGGGATTCGTCCCCCAAGGCTCTGGGTGGGAACACATCCAGCCAGCACCTGGATTTCAACCTACAGGGCTCTAAACAAGTGGAGCTCTCCTGGATCTGTGCTATGGAGATGTGGGAAAACAAGGGGGTGCTCACTTACACTATGCAGCATAGATAACCAGTCACTTAAACTATGCAGCATAGATAACCAGTCTTGGAAGGCGTTGGATGAGATCAGGATAACAGCAACAATGTAACATTTTTATCCCTCACCCCCCACCAAATCCTTATATAAGAACAAATGTGGTAACTAATGAAAGTCTCATGGCAGTAGACATCAAAAAAGCAGATAAATGAGGCCTTGCCACAAACCCCTCATCTCAGGTGGACACACGTGGAGGAGAGCCTCGGTTTCCAGTGGACCACATGGTGTATGGGGGAGGCCCATGGGATGCCTGTGTGCTTGAGAGGAAGATGAACCCTAGATGGCTCCTAGGACCTCGCTGGAAGGCACAGGGGCAAGTTCGATGTCATAGACAAAACCAGAGATCCTGAGACCTTCGCAAAGTTTGTGGAAACAGGAGGTCAGGCTATAACTACATAATTTACTTAGTTATCTTTTCTTTGGTTGGTTGGTTTTGTGTAAGTCCATATGTGTTTAGTGGTCATAGACACAGCATGTTGTGTATATGGAACCTGGAGAATGACTGGAGATGCTTGACCCTACCCTTCTATCATGAGGAACCTGGGCATTGAACTCAGGGTTATCAGGCTTGGTGGCAAGTGCCTTTACCTCCTGAGCCTTCTCACCACCCAGAAGAAGCAAGCCCCCAGTGGTAACAGCCAAAGTGTCAGGTGGAACTGACCCACAGATGAGAAATCACATTTAGTGAAAGGCAGGAGTTAGGAAGTTTAACATAAGAACTACAAACAGCTCTGGAAGCACGCTAGCACATGTGGGCACGTTGTGAGAAAGTGGGGGGGAGGGGCTCAGAGACTAGAGACATTCGACCAAGCCACCCTGTTCCTTCTAAATGTTCAGGGGCACTGATTTCATATACAAATGACAACAGAAAGGTATTGAGATCAGATTCCTTGCAACATTACAGGAGGAGAGAAGGAAGCCTACAAGGCAGTAACATGCTTATAGATATGAAAGTGTACAGGAAGATGAACCCACAGACAGATCAAAACTGTAGCCTGCTATGCCATACCGTAAAAAATATCTGAGACCTGGAAAGACAACACGAATCAGAATTTGGTTCCTCAGAAGTGAGGGGGAAGAAATGCAGAGTAATACATAGTGTTTAAAGTGCAATATAAACTAAGGAAAGGCGCATGACTAAAATAAAAACAAACAGAAGAATTAACGAGACATAATGCATTAACATGAATAAACCATCTAAAATTGAGCATTTTAAAAATTAAGGGGTTGGAGATGGAGACCATTACAGAAAAACACAGCCAATCAAAATGCATAGTTGTGGAGCCCAGTCACAACTGATATCTACTGCACAACTTGTAGACCTGAGGCTCAGAGAACATCGCAGAAGAGGGGGCGGAGAGGCCATAAGAGCCAGAGGATCAGGGAATTTGATATGAGACTGTGTCTCCTAGGGCTGTCAAAAGCTACATCTATAAAGTATTACTGCCTAAACGTGACCTGAACAAGCACAATACCACCAGACATGCTAACATGGATGGGGGAAGATCATTAGGCCCCAACACTAGACAAAGAACTACAGACAACTAAACCCTGAAAATGCATACATGCAAATAACATTATGCAGACTAACAGGTTATGTTTTTGTATATAAGAATATGCATGTATATACATACACATAGTTGCATGTAGCAATTATGGGACAAAGAGGCCATGAATTTGAAAGGGAAAAAAGAGAAGTACCTGGGAGGGTTTGGAGGGAGGAAAGGAAAAACAATGTGCTTACATTATCTCAACAAACAAATTTTAAAATAATTTTTAAAAGGGAAACAAGCCTAAGAGGTTGGGGCTAGAGAGACAACTCAGCAGATAAGAGCACTAGCTGTCTTCAGAAAGGTCAGAGAGCATTTCACGTGGCTCATAACTGCCCGACTCTAGCTCCAAGAGGTTTGATGGCCTCTTCTGGCCTCCACAGGCATTACATTCAAACATGGCATACATGCACACAGACAAACGTGTGTGTAATAAAATATAAATCTTTAGAGTAAGACAAAATAAAAATTAAGAGGAGACTCAAAGCAGACGGCAGTGTAAGCAGGTTCTCGCCGGAGAGGAGTGAAGACAAGCAGGGAAACCAAAAGCAGAGGAGAAAACCAGTCTCCAAAGGAGGAAGCCATGCCAGTGACCAGAAGGAGCTTCAGTGTGTGTAATTTACAAAAACGTTCCCGAAATTAAAAAATAAGAAGCCTTCAAATTCCATGTCGAAAGGTGATAGCACATACTTGAGAAGACTAATCTCCAGGCTATACAAGTGAGACCAATGGCTGTAGAAAGAAATTGTTTAAATATTCAGCTAAAGAGATTGTCCAGGAAATGGTTACCAGCATTTGGCTATCTGTCAGTGGCAGTTTAATTTCAGAAGGAAGTAGGAGCTCATACATAATACAAAATGTGAGGCAAGGCAGACACATGTATATCTACATATACATGTATACACAAATACACAAATATACACACATGCATACACATCATACACATGCATACACACACATAGACATACACATACATGCACACACAAATAGACACAGACACACAGAATCACACATATACAAATATATATATATATGTATATACATTCACCTAGTTACATAATACAAAACACACATATACTCACAAATACACATATTTGCATATACATACATGCACACACATAAATATGCATGCATACAATAAACATACACATACATGCACAAATCCATTCAGATACACACAAATGCACACACTTCACACATGAGTACATGCATACACACATACAAACACACAACTACACATGTACATACATACATGCAAACATAGACACCCATATACACACACACAAACATGCACACGCACATATGCACACCCTCTCCAAACACCTTTTAAAAGAGAACAACACAGAAACTGCAAGTTGCACACCTGCCACCAAAGGACATGTAGATATGGTTAAATATGAAAAAATGCAAGATTGAAAGTACACAAAAAAGTATTACTTATAAAGAAAATAGCTGTAACCCAACTACACTAATGTCTATGATGGACAAAAAAAATTCTATTTCCTTCCCACTAGTCATCCAACTTCTGGATGAAACCCCCAATAAGACATAAAGGAAATCACAGCACGGAGTATAAAAGTAGAATGTAATTATATGATAGGTGCTTGTGTGCTGTAAGCTTGCACATATCTATCTCCTTAAAAATAGATTGCATAAAGAAAATCTCTGATTTTTTCGAAAACAATAATTATGTCAGTTACACTAAGAAAAGGATTATAATATTGGAATCTTGAATACTTGGTAACTTGCAATCCAGTATTCTGCGAATTCATTGCCGACTAGAATATGCGGGTATGGTACATAATACAGAGAGTCTGTAGTCCAAGTAAATCTGCATATGCAAATATATACGCATAGGTTCTTTTCTACTTAGCCCTGGTCTCAGATCCAAGGGAATCTAGCTTGAAGAACCCACTGTGGACAAGTGGCAGGAACTGGCAATGGGCCACGTATCATGTAATCTGCAACTGGACGAATTCAAGTCCTTTGATTGTCTAGAGCTGACGCTGCCCAGCCCCTTAGTGGAGCCAATGCTACACCACTAAATATGACAAAAGGCTGCTGCTGGGGACATTATTGCAGATATCTGCAGGACGTATGGCGCTTCTCTCCCTTTATGACTCTCACCCCGCCTCAGCTGCAGCCCCATCTCTCTCATCCTTTGTGAAATTTCACGGCCTGTAACAATGACTGCATTGGATTCAGAGTTTTATAAAAAGGAGGGAGATTCTGAAATGGACAAAGGAGCTCCACATGTGATAAGTGAAAGTTGGTTTTGTTTCCAACACAAACTGAGAAATCCGTCTTCAAAGGCATTGACGCAGGATGAGAAACCCACACACGTCACTCACTCTCGTCAGCTTCGCTGTTCACAGAGGACCTGTTCTCTGTTGGTCACTGAGCAGTGACACAAGAGAAGGCATAGGACTCATAGCCCAAATGGGAGGGACTGCTCCACGGTGACCACAGGACTGTTCTGCTGCTTCAATCCATTATGTGTGTCATGTTTGGACCTCTTGTCCACCGAGAAATCCCCAAGAACATGCCTCAGTGAGAGGGACATGGAGATGTTTTGTGTAACTTGTCAAAAGGGTAGGCTGCATAACTCTCCCACACAGCACGGTTTTAAGTATAGACATTACAGAAGAAGGTTTTAAAATGTTGTGACTTACATATTCCTTTTTTTTAAACCAATGTGTACCTTACATATATGTCATCTATTGAAGTAGATCTTTAATGTTGACATAGGAGAATTTTTAATGTTTCATTAATCTATATTAATTATGAATATAAGGAAGGGGTTGCATTGTAACATTTACATACATGTACATAATTTATTTCAGACATATGCATCCTTTATTACCCTTTCTTGCTCCCCTTCCTTTCATAGTGACTATCTTTCTCTTCTGTGCTTCCTTCTGTTGTGGGGGATCCACCAAAGAACCCTCCTCAGACACCTGTGAAAGTCAGTAGAAAGCCTTTATTACCCAGCTAGTGATTACACTGGGTGTTTGGGATCCGAGTGTAGCCCCGAGCCTTTTAAGCACAAACACCATGTCCTGGGTTAATACACTTCAGTTACTAAGAACAGTTAGCCAGAAGCAGAACTACAGAAGCCCAAAAGTGAGTACATTTAGAGACTTTTGCAGAATTGTGGACTTTCATGAATGAGGTCTTTGTTTTCATTTTGCCAGGTGGTGCTGTCTATGTGCTGAGTTTTATAACTTAAATGGCAATTCCATCATGGAGTCAATTGTGCTAAGGGTGAGGGCCTATTACACTTCTCTCTCTCTCTCTCTCTCTCTCACTCTCTCTCTCTCTCTTTCTCTCTCTCTGTCCCTCTCTCTCCCCCCCTCTCTGTGTGTGTGTGTGTTGCCAATGAGTTTTATTGGGGTTCTTTATATAAACATTGATAAGAGCTTGCTCACAGCAGTATGGGCAACTTACCAGTGACTACAGCACTGAAGAAAATGTTTCTCCCTCTCCCATCAACTGTCAACACCACATAAGTGCTGTGTGTGTGGGGGGGGTGCGGCCCCATGAGCCTCTCCACCACCCACAGCAGCCCCATCTCATGTAGATCTCATCACAACTGCTTTGAGTTTAGGAATGCAACATCCATGTCCTGCCAAGACGACCCCATTCCACATGTCTCTTATCATGTTTTGTAAGTCTCACATTTCTGCTCTGTCGACTTCCATGATGTTCTCTGAGCATGGCAGGGGAGGTGTAGATGTTTCAGCTATGGCTGAGCATTTCCCTCAGTGAATCTCTTCACTCATCGGTGATCTCTGCACGAAGAAAGCTTTCGAACCAGTAAGTCTCATCACGTGATCTTATTGACGCACGCATACCAGCAGCACTGCACTGTGTGCATAAGCATAGCTCTGCAGAAGGCAGTTGGATAAGCACATCATGTCCAGTTAGCAAATTAGCAACATTAACTGCCTCACCAGCGCTTATGACCTCCCTGTCCATGGGCTTTTGAGATTGAGACAGGTTTACTATATCAGAATGTGCTTGGTTACCCCCAACAACAGTCTTGCCACTGTTACATCAGTGGACTCATATTCCCTGTCCAGATGATTTCATTGTGACATTAACCAATTTCAGGGGCTCAAGGAATCATAATGCCTGCCTGAGTCCCAGACTGGGACCACGCTTGAGGCTCTAAATTCCTGTTCTAGCCTCTTTCCCTTCCAAAGAACAAGAATGGACCTTATAATCCCCCAGGGGCCACTCACCGTTTTTCACCCTTCAGTAATGCTGTTGTCAACTTTCACTGCATCATGGAAAGAAATCTTCTTGGACAGATGGACTGATAGACAGATATGGGCCACACAAATTAGCACATCTTTATTTTCCTTTTTAAGACACCAATCATGGGTGTCTTCCTGGGCTACACCTTAGCTCCGTCTCAGAGGAGCATCCAGCAGAAGAACCCGTCACTGTCTGGATGTTGTTTGCAGGGTGTTTAAAATGGCTTTCTATTTAAGCAATAAGGCAGTAGCCTTTTGTGTCCCGTTTCTTTCCCACATTTGCATAAACACTTCAGTAGAATGCATTCCACTTGATGGTTTGATGCACAAAGAATGCACTCTTTTCAAATTTTAGTTTGAATGCAGAATGACAAATTGTTATCTTTTCAATACAAATTCCATGTACCTGAAGCAACTCAAAAGTTACATTTTGAGACAAGGTCTCAATATGTAGCTCAGGCTACCCTGGAACTCACTGCATAGCACAGGCTGACCTGGGACTCTCACACCGTCCCCCTACTTGTGCTTCCCAGGGTTGGGGACTGCAGACATGTACCACCATACCTAGTCAAAAGAATGCTTTTAAATCAAATAGTATATTGCAAAAGAAGTTGCAAGAAGGATTACATCAATAACAAGGAGTCATCATCTTAGATACTATTGTTTGAAAAATACTTCTGACGCTTTCCAGTAAGTCTCATCATGTGATTTTATTGAGGGAACTCCTTTTGAACCCTGGGTTCCAAAACGAGGCAGGTAGTCATGGCATACACTGACCTTCAAAGGGATGGAATGTTGCTACATTTCCCACCTCAAGGCCTTGCTCAGCCTATAATAACACAACTTCTGAGGAGGGCAGTGTGAGGCACTCTTGCAATCCTACATTAGGGATGCAGAGGCAGGAGGATCTGGAGTTCAAGGTCTGTGACATAAAGATACTCCTTGTAAGAGGTATTGGGGGGGGTCAAAAGTTTCTACACCCTGATAAGACTCTGCTGCTACAGCAATCCGAATCAGACCAGATCAAACTGAATTAGAAAAAGCCCACGTTTAATGGATATGACACCCCCTAGATGGAAAAGAGAGACCGGAAAACCACATGTCTGTTTACTAGGGGACAGTTTAAATACTTTGTGGGAGTGGTCTTGAGCATCTCTGGAAGAGGGGTCAACGTTTGGTGGGCTTTCTGAGATGCAGCAGGGGTTGGAGGGAGATGGGAGAGGGGGGCTTGGGTGGAACCTCCACCATTACATTCCAGACTCTTTGGGTATATGGATGCCATGGGCTGGGGTGAAGCTTCTACCATAACAAGGAGGATTTCCATATGCAAAAGAGAAGACCACTCTTTCTGGAAGCACTTCTCTCTCTCTCTCTGTCTGCACTCTCCTGCTTTTCATATTCTATATTAGTCATTTAATTTACTGTAATAAAATAGCCTACAGGATCAGCTTAAGGAAGCTGACTCATGACTCGTGTTCTAGGAGATATAGCCGTCATGGTGGTCCACAGGGCTTCAGCGGCTGGAGGCAGCTGGTCCTGTTATGTCCACAGCCAAGAAGCACAGAGAGGTGGATGATGGTGCTTAGCCTTGTCTTTTCCATTCTACCTGGAGCCTTGAGCCCATGTATATTTAGAGTTAACATCTTCCACTTCCATTAACATAGTCCAGAGAGTCTCTCCAAGACACACCCAGAGGCTTGTTTCCATGGTAATTTAGACTCCATCTAGTTGACAGGCAACTCTATCCCAGCATCTTAACTTTTTGTTTTGTTTTGTTCCCCTGCTTTGTCAAAACTGAAGAAGCATTATGAAGACACAACAAATCTGTGTTGCAGACAGTATCAGGAGTAATAAGTCACCAAACTGAACCAAGTCAATGTGCACAGTGAGGATGTTTGTGTTTCTGCATGCTTGCTTAGCTTACTATGATGTAGTCTCTGCTATGCCTTGACCCTGCCAATCCACCCTGGCCACTACATACTTGTGAAGTGCCTTTAATCCAAGTACTGTGGAGGCAGAGGCAGGTGCATCTCAGTGAGCTCTAGGACAGCCTGGTCTGCATAGCGAGTTCAAGAACAACCAGGACTATATAAAGAAGCGTCTACATGAAGATAAATGGCAATAAAATAAAGGAAACTAGCATCTAATTTCTTGGAGTACACTGCAGGTAATGTGACTCTCCCTTAGAATTGTTCAAACCCAGCAGAATCCAAATGACTTCCTGACTCCGCCTCCAGGTACACACCCTCAAGCCTGAGAAGCCATGATGAGATGCCAACTTCTCCATCCATCCAAGACACCAAACAAAACAGTGATAAACCAAGGAAGAGAATCACACACAGGACCTGTTTACCCCAGTGACAAAGGCAGGGGAGGCCAAGGAGGGTGGGGATGAGAAAAGAGAGTGACAGCTGACAGCACTCACACAAATGCAAGCCTCCACTCAAAGAACACTGTGAAAACATCCCCTTGCTGCCCCTGCTCTCCAGCACCTTAGGGAAGAGGCTGAAAGCTGCATTTATACAGGTAGGGTCCTGAGATGCTGCCTGCAGAGCCAGGGAGCCTAATGTAAGCCTTTTAAGGGAATCTCACACGGCTCTGATCTTAAAGAGCCTCCCATGCTCTCTCTCTGCTGTTCTTATTGAATTTTTAATAAGAACAATTCCGCACAGTTCGAAAGCATGGCTCAATTAAGAAATATTCCTACCAGGCATCTTTGAAATCCTGCAAGTTCCTCTCCCCTTGCTTCCTGATGACCCTCAATTTGGTTGTGTTGAGAGGTTGGTGGGGAGCAGGGGAAGGGGGAATGAAGCTTTTTTTTTAATTGCAAGATCAATTTCACACTGTTCTTGATGAGATGGCAAGACTGGTTTTCAAAGACGACTTGGGCATCTGCTGCCAGGAGGCAGTAATACAGTGCCTTAGTAACCAATCATAGCTTGGAATTTCAAGGGGCATTTTTGATGGGATACCTTAAGCCTTAGATGTCCTTGAAGCTTTACCAAGGTCATTTGAAAAGAAACAATTGTGCGTAAATCATGGAACCTCAACCTCGAGTATTTTGAATCCTAATTGCCTGGTAATGTATGACTTGTAACAGAAGAATTATTGCTGAGTGTTTCCTGGTAAAACCTACCTTGCATTAATGTATCCTTTCTAAAGACCTGTTTGTAGAGATTTAAATCTAGCCACAAATTTTCACTAGCTGCTTCCAGTTTTTGGCTGAGGATTCATGCTTATACCTATATCTGTGTGTCGCATACATCAAACGTGTGTGTGCCTGCTTGGGTATATGTCTTTATGACAATCACTCCCGGCAACACTGCCAGTGTTGGTTAATTTTAAATGTTCAGGAGCATCAAGGTAGGGACAGAAAACTGTGAGTTCATTATGTTTACATCCCCAACCCATCTATTGTTTAACAAGTGAGAAAGCCCACTAGATTAAGCATACTATAAAAGCGATAGCCATATACAGGATCACAGGAGTAAAATAGTTAAAGCATCGATGAGGCTGGCATTATGGTTACAATAGTGACTTTGCTGTTGCTCTAAAAAATGCCACAACCAAGGCAACTTATGGAAGGAAAGGTTTATTAGGCTTACGGCTCCAGAGGGTAAGAGTCCATCCCGGTATGGGAAACATGGTGGCGGGTTGTTAGAGAAGGAAGTTGAGAGGTTGTATCTTTGCCTGCAGACATGAAGCGAAGAGGGTAGTGGAAATGTGGTAAGGCTATGAACTCTCAAAGCCCGCCCCCATGGCGTACCTCCTCCAGCAAGGTGATGCCACCTGCCCAAACAGCACCACCAACTCGGGACCAAGTGTTCAAATAGTGTAGCCTGTGGAGCAGGGTCCTCTTTCAACTCAACACAAGCCTGTGCCGAGGCTGTAGCTACACTGACCACTCACTGGACTGAACTTTAGCCCTGATGGCTGAGACCAAGTCTTAGCAGTACAAGCTGAGGGAAAAAATTCTGTTAGTGGATGAAATTGTTTTGCAAAGTAGGACACACAATTCACGTGAGTTACAGAAGTCAGAGCTCTTGGTTTAGCCCAGGTTCATATATGCCCCACATCCCTTTCTATTCCAACATTCTCAGTAGATCTACCAAGGTCATACCTCTGCTTAGTTGAACTAACTAAAACTCCATTGACTAACTAAAACTCCAGAAACTATCTGTCCTGGTTGTTTTTTATTGTCAACTTTTGCAAAATCTAATTTTTTTCCCATGGCAAAGGAGCCTCCACTGAGGAATCGCCCAGAGCACACAGACCTGTGGACATGCCTGCTGGTTATTGATTGATTATTTAGTGATGATTGGCGGCGGGGGCTCAGCCCACTGTGATTGGCATCATTTCCTGGGCCCAAGGGCCTGAGCTGTATAAGAAGCTGAGCCTGAGCCAGTGAGTGAGGCAGAGAACAGCGTCATCATCCCCCATCCTCCATCCCCCATCCTCCATCCTCCCCCATCCTCCATCCCCCCATCCTCCATACCCCCCCCCTCCCGCTTCAGCTCCTACTTCAGTTCTTACCCTGCTTCCTTCAGTGATGGACTGCGCCCCGGAAGTGTAAGCCAAATCAACCCTTTCCTCCACTGAGTTACTTCTGGTCAGAGTGCTGAGTCACAACAGCAGGGTGAAATAAGAGCACTGTCTTTACAACACCCTGCCTTGAAAATTGAGGTGTTTGGAAGTGTACCTAACCCTGAAGC